GCTTTCCCAGGCCATAGTAGAAAGCTGCATTGGAAGAGGGGCAGCTGGAACTTGAACCGGTGCCTATATGAGACACTACCCACTAAGCCACAGCGCTGGCCCCAGGGTTTTGTTTTCTACTGCTAATAAACTGAGATTTAAAACATTATATTCAGAGGCCAGAGCTGTGATGTAGCAGGTAAAGCCACTGCCTGTAGTGCTGGCATCCCACATGGGCGCTGGTTCAGGTCCTGGCTGCTCTATTTCTGATCCAGTTCTCTGCTGTGGCCTGAGAAAGCAGTGGAAGACGGCCCAAGTCCTTGGGCACCTGCACCCACGTGGGAGACCTGGAAGAAACTCCTGGCTTCGGATTGGCCCAGCTCCGGCCGTTGTGGTCATCTGGGGAATGAACCAGCAAATGGAAGACCTCTCTCTCTCTCTCTCTCTCTCTCTCTCTCTGCCTCTCTGTAACTCTGCCTTTCAAATAAATAAATAAATCTTTTTTAAAAAGTTATATTCAAAAATTTGGCCTAGTGGTTAAGACGCCTACATTCCACACTGGAGTGCTTGGGTCCAAGTCCTGGCTCCACTCCGAATTCCAGCTCCTGCTAATGTGCACTGTGGAAGGCAGCAAGTGATGGCTCAAGTAGCTGAGTCCCTGCCACCCTAGCAGAAGACTCATATTGTGTTCATGGTTCCTGGCTTCCCCCCTGCTCAGCCCCATCAGTTGCCAGTACTTGGGTAATGAAACAGCAGATGAGAGATCTCCCTCTCTCTCCTCTGCCTTCAAATTAATACATTTAAAAAATCATAAATATCAGATAAAGCTAAATTTGCATTCCTATATTAAATTATCTATATCAGTAGAGGATTCAGCAAGTCATGGGTAACCTCTATAATACACCATGAAAGGGAACTGTCAAGTGCTCATCATCACACCAACACTATTTTTAGTTGTGACAGGTAGAAACTTAAAGTACCTTAGTATAGCAAAAGCAGGTCATTCTCTGACACTTGCTGAACTTTCCAATCCCATCCTTCACCATCTTCTCACCAAAATCCTATGCTAGTATCAATTATCTTTTGCTGCCAGAATCCACGATTGCTCTGTTCATGTTTATACGTTTATGTCCCAGAACCAAGTACTTCCTTTATTATATAATTCCTAACTGCTTTTACTATTGCCTCCTCTGGGAGACTGCAAGTATCCACCAACCTATCCTCTACAACTCAGGTCTGAATTAGACATTGTATTTGGTGCTCTTGGATAGTAACCTCTGTATAGTTCCTGGCACACTGTAGGTCTCGGATACTCATGGATATACAATCCGAAAGTGTGGCCATTCGCTAAGCTTGTCCTCCCTTCCTCAAAGTTGAAACACTCAGATATCTGCAGTGGTTCTGAGGCATTAATACGAACCATGCAAGACTGGTATGCAGGAGGAAGTCTGCTAGTAAGGGCAGCAGGCCCAGGAGTTGTAGCTGAACACAACTTGCAGCTTCTTCCTTGTGCATTAGTACTTCTGAAGCTTTTTGTTTTAACTGTGTTACTGTGACCCACAGTAATATCTACTGGTTATACCAACACCTGGTTCACATTTACTCACATAGAGAAAATGCAACAATACTCACCCTGCATGAGATACACTTTTTATTATTATTCTATTCTCCCCACTCCTTTCAAGCTGTTTGCAACCTCTGAAGATGTTTCTTAATTAAGGGGTCATGACGCAAATTTGAGGGGGAAGACAAGACAGACACAGAATGCTAATCACTCAAGAAGTGATTAAATTTGTTTTTCAAAACATAGGTCCCCAAGAGAAAAACATAACTACTGTTGTTAGAGATGGAAGCAAAGAAAACATTAATATTTCATGCAGACAAGCTCTGTGCCAGAAAAAAGAAAAACACTTTATACATGGAATCCCTAAGGATCTAAAGGGGCCAGGTATGTGTTCCAGTCACATCTGAGTTGTGCTTCATGTGGTCAACTGAGTATGCTGCGGTGGGATCAGGAATTTGGGGCTTCAACCGTCTCAGGACCATCCCTTGCCCATGCTAAGGGTCTGGTACTTGTTTACTTACTACTGTCTGGTACTTGTTTACTTGCTAATAAATTGTTTACTTCACTGTGCCTGGCTCAAGGGCTCAGTGAGCATTTGCTATATGAAGGCAAAGACTGTATATCAAGAGTGGCCAAACAGATGAAAATTAAACCACCAAGGAGCTGGTGTAGTGAGTAAAACTACCACCTGCGATGCCAGTATCCCATATGGGCGCCAGTTTGTATCCTGGCTGCTCCACTTCCAATCCAGCTCCCTGCCAGTGGCCTGGGAAAAGCGGAAGAGGCTGGTCCAAGTGTTTGGGCCCCGGCACCCACATGGGAGGCCTGGATGAAGCTCCTGGCTCTGGTCTGGCTCAGCCCTGGATATTGTGGCCATCTGGGGAATGAACCAGCGAATAGAAGATCTCGCTCTGTCTCTGCAATTCTTTAAATTAAATAAATCTTTTTTAAAAATTTAACAAGAAGAAATCATTCTTTATCCATCTTATTGCAGTAATAACAAATAAAACCTAATGTAGTAGAAAGGAGGAAATCATCATACATCAATGATGAAAGATGAACTGCTTTAGTCTTTTCAAAAAACTATATGGAAATTTCTATTAAAATTCAGGATATATGCATCTTGGCAGCAGTAACTTCCCAAGTGGAAATCTCTCCCACAGAAATAAAAGCATCAGCTCCTAAGAACTGGACCAGGATGTTTACTGCAACACTCTTCATGGAAAGAAATCTACATGGAGCAAATGCCCATCACCTGTTATATTAATTGTGATATATTCATGCCACAAAATATTGGGCAATTTAAAAATGCTTTAGACACACATTAAGTGACTTGGAAGTATTTCTACGATATATGTAAGCTGGAAGAGCAAAAAGTAGAATGCAATCCAATATATTCCATTTTTTTAAAATTGATTGATCTGAGAGGCAGAGAGACAAAGCAAGAAGTTAGGGCCAGAGAGAGAGGGTGCATATTTCTATCTGTTGGTTCACTCCCCAAATGCTCACAATGGTCAGGAATGGGTTGGGCCCCGAACCAGCAGCCCAGGAATTCAATTTAGGACTCTCACATGGGTGGCAGGAACCCAATTGCTGGAGCCATCACAGCTTTGTATCAAGGTCTGCATCAGCATATGTTCATGTAGGTTTGCATATAATGATAAAAACATGCAGAAAGGCAATGAAGGTTAGCTATGTACGCTTGAAGTTCAGGGGAGGGAAAATTAGCCTCCTCTACCTCTGCATGAATTGTCAACAATAAAAATATTCTGCATTCTACAGGCCCTTTCATATAATTATATGTACATAGAAAAGATATACTCAAAAAGATGCACAATTTTAAGAAGAAAAGACAAGAAAAAAGCTGGGACAGCCTTGTGGCACAGCAGGTTAAGACGCCAGTGCAAGGCAGCACCCCAAATCTGAATGCAGGTTCTAGTCCCAGTTACTCTGCTTTCAATACAGCTCCCTGCTAATGTGCCTACGAAAGCAACACAAGATGGCCCAAGTACCTGGACCCCTGCCAGCCACATGGGAGACCTGGATGGGGTTCCAGGCTCCTGGCTTCTGCGGGCCTAGGTTTAACTGTTGTAGCCATTTGTGGAGTCAACCAGTAGATGGAAGATCTGTCTCTCTTTCTGTCCACCTGCCTTTCATGTAAATGAAATAAGAACTTCCAGCACATTTTCCAGCAAACAAACCCAAATGTTTGACAGATAAAAGAATGGATGGATTGGTTGATTTAAGTTAAAACCTAAAAAAAAAAAAAGCACACTGAAAAAGATGGTATTCTGGGGGGAGGCATTTGACCAAGCAGTAGGGACACCTGCACCCCACACAGGCGCACCTCGGCCCAAGTCCTGCATCTCCTCCAGAATCCAGTTTCTGCTGTGTTCACCATGGGAGGCAGCAGGCACTGGCTCAAAGCGCTGGGCCCCTGCTACCTATGTGGGATATTTGTCAGTTCCTGCCCACAGGCTTTTGTCCCAGCTGGGGTCACTGCAGACATTTAGAGAATGAGCTGGGGGACGGAGCCCTTTCTGTCTCTTTACAACTCAAATTTAAAGGAAAAAAAAGATTCAGTATAGTTTTTAGAACACAGTAGCTTACTTCTATGCAATAGCTGGTACTGGTTATCACTCTCCATCCAGGAAACACTGTCCTGTTCTCCATGACAAATATGTGGTTCTCCCCTGTCCTGCGCAGCTTATTCTCAATCTCTTGGGGCCTGACCTTTGACCTGTTTGTCCATCAAAGCTCTACTCCTCTGCCTACTCCTCACTCAGCGCCCTCTCCCAAACTGGTCCAATCCATTTCCAAGGACTCATCAACCACCTACAAGGTAACAGAGGACTTCCAAGTCAATTATCTTCCTGTCGATTTACTGGTCTACTGGGAATCTCCAATTGGAGATCCCACAGATGCCTTGAACGCAATTATACCCCCAAATGAAACTCACTGTCTTGCTTCTCAAATCTCTTCCTCCTCCTGAGATCCCATGTCCGTTAACTGGCGAGGGAGCGTCTTGGCTGGCCACTGCCCTCAGGATTAAGGGGAGCGTACAAACTGTGGTCTCTCAGAGGAAATTAAAACAGAAAACGCCCAGATGCAAAGGCATTTTTTTAACAGCATTCTCTGCAATCCCCGTTCCGCTCTAGTGTGCGGGTCCCGGGCACGCCCGAAGGACCGGACCCAACAGCCCACTATTTAGGCACTGACCCCTTAGCCCCGCAGCCCCAGTCGAGTCAGGGGTCGCTCCGCCTCGCCTGCAGGTAACTTGCTCTCATGACACTCCGCAAGAACCAGAAGCAAATCTCAGAGCGGCAGCTGCAAGCCAGCACCCACCTCCGCACCCCCAACCTCAAGCCTCCAGGGTCCCGACCAGAAGCACGCCAGGCGCCGGCTTCACCTCCCCACGGTACCGGGACCACCGCTCCCAGTTCTCCCAACGCCTTACCTGGGATCCAGCACCTCTCTGAAACTCAGCGGCCGCAGTTTTCCAAAAGCCTTGCCTGGGGGCGAGGGTAACCCTACTCCCGATAAAGAGACGGTAGCACAGCGCGCCGCAGCAGGACACACAGGGAGCCGCCATGTTGGTCGTGGGAAACCCAGGCGTCAGGGGCGAGGGGCGGGGCCTGAGGCCTGCGCATGCGCCAATGCGCGCCGCGGTCCCGAGCCTCTCAGAGGAAGAAGTTGTGGGGCCTTTAAAGCACAAGGGTGTTTCCTACGGGCCGAGGCTGCTCGTCGGTGATTGGACGCGTGGGATCCGCGGGGCGTGTCCGACACCATCCCCGGCCCGCGCGCTCCGCAGCGGGAGGGGTCCTGGGTCGTTTATTTTGGCCTCTTTCTGTCTGTTCACTCCCAGACCCTAATCTTACTGCAAATCGCCGGGGTGGCTTGTTGACGCGCCCTTCCCGCCCGTGCGCCTCGCTGCACCTGGAAGCGGCTTTGGCTCCGCCGAGACCTGCAGTGGAGGGGCGCGGGGGGGCTGGGCAGTCGGCGGCACCTGCCTCGTTCCTGTTCGGAATTCGCGGTTCTCCAACCTCCGCGCTCCCTTCCGCTGGAAGGTGCCCCGCGGCCCTGGGTGCCTGCTTGCCTGCTTTCCCCGCAAGGCTTTTCCCGGCTCCAACTTCCCGCAGGTGCAGGGCCGCACTGGGGTCTCGGCGCACGCGTTTCCACGCTGAATGATTGCAGGCCTGCGGGCGCGTCGCCTTCCCTCCAGCGTTACCACCAAGCCTTACTTACTGGCAGCCCTCGCCGAACGGAGTGGCGGTTGAATGGAGGTGCGCATACCTGTGCCCCTCTGACACGGCTCCTCGAAATCCGTATTAAACGGCAGAGTCAGCCTCCCTCAAAAGGGTTTCCAAGCGCTTCCATTTGCCCACACACAGAAAACCTGGGGTCACACAAAGTTGTCAAGCAAATACATGGCGGCCACTATCAACAGCATTTAAACGAACAAGCAAAAAACGGTTTCACAGTAGGAAGGTACAAATGGCATAATTTCACAATACAGAGTAGTTCCCTAAATGGACTGCCTTTAGTCATAAGGGAAGCTCACCCCGTTCTTGCTGTTGTTACCCTTTGGACAAATGAAAATTTCATCGGAAATTGGCAGAGATCCATGAGCTAGCATTTGGGAAACAAGAATTCAAGTTCTTAAAATAAATGCCTTTAAACCGTAGTTCCTACACATCGTAAAAAAAATTTTTTTTAATTAGGGGATCTTCATAAGTAAAAATCTAAGTAGAAAATAAGTATAAGGAAGCAAAATTTATACAATTATATGTTAGCACTATATATCAACTAAGTAGTGAAATTAGGGTTAGGAGCTCAGATTTTTTTTCTTTCTTTTCTGAAATTCGTATTTCAAGTTCATCTGAAAGGTTTAAAAAAATTCCTTACATCCATGTTACAGTGTTAGTCTTTCACTAGAATACAGTATGTTTCCCACCTCTAGAGGCAACACTTGCACCACAGCACTGAATTTCCTATATAACCTTTGAGTTTGGGAGCAAAGACACTGTTGTATGTTAATATTGGGTATATAATTTGCAGACAGAAAGATTGGAATATGCTAATAAACATTTAAGTCTGAAAAACATGTGCCTTGCCGAATGGCTAAAGCTTGCATTCCTTTCATTTTCTTCACAATTATTGAGCGCCTATTATGCAATAGGCATCAGGCATCCTGGGTACTAGAAATTCAGTGTGCTGGGTCTGGTTTGATGTGAAGATTTGGTTCTGAAATCAGCTGGCAAGGTGAACATCAGGTGAATCAAAGTGCTGGAGGAACACCAAATGTTGTTGGGATGCAGGGTAGCAGGAACTGTTAGTTGCTGCTGGTAGCCATGTAAATTGATACAACCTTCATGAAATCAACCTACTAATCAGTGACCTATTGAAATTAAGGTATGCACACCAAGCAATCCATAAGTTATATTCTTTTTTTTTTTTTTTTTTTTTTGACAGGCAGAGTGGACAGTGAGAGAGAGACAGAGAGAAAGGTCTTCCTTTGTCGTTGGTTCACCCTCCAATGGCCATCGCGGCCGGTGCGCTGCAGCCGGCGCATCGCACAGATCCGATGGCAGGAGCCAGGTGCTTCTCCTGGTCTCCCATGGGGTGCAGGGCCCAAGCACTTGGGCCATCCTCCACTGCATTCCCTGGCCACAGCAGAGAGCTGCCCTGGAAGAGGGGCAACCGGGACAGAATCCGGCGCCCCGACCGGGACTAGAACCCCGTGTGCCGGCGCCACAAGGCGGAGGATTAGTCTAGTGAGCCGCGGCACCGGCCAAGTTATATTCTTACATATATACCCTGTAGAAATCCTTGCACAGTGTTCCAGGAGACGTATTTGAGAATGTTTTTAACAATGTTTTTATTTTTTAAAGATTATTTATTTGGAAGAGTCACAGAGAGAGAGATTTTTCCACCTGCTGATTTACTCCCCAGGTGGCTGTGATGGCCAAGACTGGACCAGGCTGAAGCCAGAAGCCAGGAGCTTCTTTCTAGCCTTCCCAAGTGGGTGCAGGGGCCCAAGGCCTTGGGACATCTTCCACAGCTTTTCCCAGGCCATTAGCAGAGAGCTGGATTGGAAGTGGAGCAGCTGGGATTCGAACTGGCGCTCATATAGGATTCCAGTGTCGCAGGCAGTGGCTTTACCTGCTATGCCACAACACTGGCCCCTCATAACAACATTTTTTACATGACAGTAGTGGGTACTGTGGCACAGTAGCTAAGCTCCTGCTCTGAGGGCCCGTATCCCAGATGGGAGTGCCTGGGTTCAGGCCCCACCTCCATTTCTGATCCAGCTTTGCTGGGAGGCAGCAGGTGATGGCTTAGGGGCTTTGAACGCTGCTGCCCATGTTGGTGACCCTGATGGAGTTCCAGGCAACTGGCTTTGGCCTTCACCCCATCAGTGT